CTTCTTCTTCTTCTTCTTCTTCTTCTTCTTCTTCTTCTTCTTCTTCTCCTTCTTCTCCTTCTTCTCCTGCAGGTGGGATACAAATTAAATAAACAAACAATAAACAGAAAACCTGGCTCCAATTAGGAACATAAGTTGCAATCAGGGCTTCCGTTGCCAGAAGTGAGCTGGTTTGGTGCCTTGTCTTGAATCTTCTTACTGTTCCTTGGAGCCGAGTCCATATTAGAAAGGAACAAAAGCGCAGATGTGAATAAATATGTTTAAATAGACTTCTGATTCATCCTTCTCTCACAGAGAAGACAAACTTGTGATGGTATAAGGTTTGACATCTCACGGACGAGCCTTCAAATCAAGTAGCACGACTCCATGTTCAATCATCCCCAAGAGGCATTGGCCGAGAATCCAAAATGACAGGAACATCTTTAAAAAGATCTCATCCATGATGGAAGGGATTCTGGGAGGCCAGATGGAGAGGTGGAGGTCTTGATTAAGCTAACTCTGGTTCCTTCGATTCCTACTACACGTTCTCCAGAATATTGGATTGCAACTCCCATGAGTTGTAGTCAGATTGGGTCGTTGCAGTCCAAGGAAGATGACAAGTTCAACAACTTTAAGGTGATGGACTTCAATTCCCAGAATTCCCCAGCCAGGATGCTTTAAAATAAATGGACTTTCAACTCCCAGAATTCCCCAGCTGGCATGCTTTAGGATGGGTGGACTTCAAACACCCAGAATTCCAGAATGGCTGGCTGGGGAATTCTGGGAGTTGAAGTCCACCCGTCTTAAAGTAGCCAAGGTTGAGAAATGCTGAAGGGATAACGTTGGGAGACATCTTTGGAGTGTTTATGAGTCCTCTCTTGGTGGTCCTCAAAGTCTCCATCGATGATCCCACCATGCCAAGTCTTCTGAGAGACCCAAGTACCAGCTGTGAGTAACCCTTTCTTTCCCCTCTCTCTCTCCCCAGAGTCATCTTCTCCAACATGTCTCCGCTGAAGACCTCAGTCCTGCTCTTGGCTCTGTTCCTCCCGTCGCTGTTTGCCACAGTGGACAATGCCTTGGGTTCACCCAGGACTGGGTCATCTTCTCCAGACGGTGGCAACCGTAGCTCCAAGTGCCAGGAAAACACCGAATGCCAGGAAGGTGTGATCTTACCTGTGTGGCTCCCCCAGAATCCTTCCGTCGGAGATAAGGTAGCCCGGGCTATCGTTTACTTTGTGGCCCTCATCTACATGTTCCTGGGCATGTCCATCATTGCCGACCGCTTCATGGCCTCCATCGAAGTGATCACCTCGCAGGAGAAGGAGATCACCATTAAGAAACCCAACGGGGAGACCACGACGACCACAATCCGCATCTGGAACGAGACGGTCTCCAACCTAACCTTGATGGCCCTGGGATCTTCGGCGCCCGAGATACTCCTCTCCATCATTGAGATTGTGGGTCATGGCTTTCATGCAGGAGACATGGGTCCCAGCACCATTGTGGGCAGCGCCGCTTTTAACATGTTCATCATCATTGCCATTTGCATCCACGTGGTCCCTCAGGGTGAGGTACGGCGCATCAAACACCTGCGGGTTTTCTTCGTCACGGCGGCGTGGAGCATTTTCGCCTACATCTGGTTGTACCTCATCTTGGCCTGGTTCTCTCCCGGCGAGGTCGAACTATGGGAAGGTCTTCTCACCTTCCTGTTTTTCCCAGTCTGTGTCCTCCAAGCTTGGGTGGCTGACCGGCGACTCCTCTTCTACAAGTACGTGCAGAAAAAGTACCGGACGGATAAATCACGGAGTCTCATTATCGAGAGCGAGGGAGACACCGGCTACCCGAAAATGGACATTGAGATGGATAACTCACTCAAGGAAGGATCGGAAGGTCTGGGGGATACGGGTAAGGATCAAGACGAGGAGGCCCGCAGAGACATGGCTCGGACCTTGCGGGATTTGAAACAGAAGTACCCCGAAAAGGACATGGAACAACTGATTGAAATGGCCAACTATCAAGTACTGGTCCAGCAGCAGAAGAGCCGCGCATTCTACCGCATCCAAGCGACCCGTATGATGATCGGAGCTGGGAACATCCTCAAGAAACACGCGGCCGATCAGGCCCGCAAAGCAATCAGCATGCAAGAAGTCCAGATGGAGGAAGATGAATCGGTGACGAGAATTGGTTTCGAGCCAGCTCACTATCAGTGCTTTGAGAACTGTGGCTCTGTAGTCCTGACCGTGGTCCGTCGAGGAGGGGACCTGGCCTGCGTCACTGTGCGAGTGGACTTCCGTACAGAGGACGGAACGGCGAACGCTGGCTCCGACTATGAATTTGCAGAGGGTACCTTGCTCTTCAAGCCGGGAGAGACGCACAAGGAACTGCGGGTAGGGATCATTGACGATGATATTTTTGAAGAGGACGAATATTTTTACGTCCACCTCAGTAACGCCAGGGCAGCCTGGGCCGAGCTAGGGCCGGAGCCTCCTCCAAAAGCTTGTCTCTTACCCTCCAAGATGGCCACCGTGACGATCTTCGATGATGACCACGCTGGTATCTTTACTTTTGAGGGACCCTCTAAGCGAGTGAACGAAAGCGTAGGTGTGGTACACATCAAAGTGTTGAGGACTTCGGGGGCCCGCGGGCGAGTGGCCATCCCCTATCACACCATCGAGGGCACGGCAAAAGCCGGCGAGGATTACGAGGAAGTGGCCGGCAAGGTGGAATTTCAGAACGACGAGACAGTGTAAGATAACAGCATGGGGAATGGCGGGGCAGGGAGAGATGAACGACGCATGTGCGGGAGGAGGGAAAATGGGTTATGGATAGTGGTAAAATTTTATTTATTTATAAAATTTGTTTGCCATCCATGTTGTGTCCATAAACAAGATATTTGAAAAACATTAAAACCGTAAAAAAGACAGTAGATTAAAAACATTCACAAATGACTTACGATCAACATTAGATCCAGAATTACCATTGCTAAGGAGTTAAGGGAGCCTGATTTTATGACCTCTTTTAACGATGGTTGTTAAGAGAATCATTGCAATTGTTAACTGAGTCAAGAAGTTGTTAAGCAAATTGGGCTTCCTCTCCTTTGAAGCCGGCCGGGGAAGGTCACAAGCGGTGATTGCGGGATGCAAGGATGCTTCAACCATCATAAATACTGTACGTGCTGGTTTTACAACCTTTCTTGCCGTTGTTAAGGGAGTCGCACGGTCATTAAGTGAATCTGGCTTTCCCCATGGACTTCGCTTGTTGGAAGGTCGTAAAAGGGGATCAGGTGACCCCGGGATGCTGCAACCGTCATAATTATGAATCAGTTGCCAAGCGTCTGAATTTTGATCACATGACCATGAGGACACTGCAACGGTCGTTAAGTGTGAAAAACGGTCCTAACTAAGTCACTTTTTTCAGTGCCATTGTAACTTGGAACGGTCACTAAGTGAACTGCTGTAGGTCAAGGACTGTTCAAAGGGCCTGGAAAAGGAAGAAATGGTACGCGCTGGCGTACAGCAGCTCATAATAAGGAGCATGGCCTTTTTGGTGGTGGCACCATAGTTCAGTTCAATGGCTTTTGTTTATTGCAAAAATTTCTAAAACGCTGGACAGTCCGTTTCCAAGAGCATAAAAAGACAGGCCAGAAATTACAAAAACCATCATCCAATTCCCAAATAACTATAGTTTTTTTTTTCTTCCTCCCCAGTTCCTCAAGGTCTTAAATATCAGATAATGTGCCTGGTTCCAGGGCTTTAAAATCACTCCATTTTTATCTCCGCTCAGAGTATTAACGTGGTTTGATATTAAAATTTTCCAGCTTTTGGTACACCGTTTGTCAGATTTAACTGTTTTTAATTTGTTTTAATGGGTTTTTTTCGGGCAGGAAGGAGTCAGCTACGACGGGAATTACACGGGTGGTAGATGATAAATGTTTATAATAATCAAGAAAATATATATAAGCTGCAATAGCAGGGCAGCAATGGATCTGTTTTTTACTACATTTAGGTACAAAATGTTCAGGTTTTTTTTTTTTTACTGACTTCGGTACAAACTCCCAAAACTTTTGTGCACATTAAAAAAAAAACTATTTTTCAGTTTTACTTCCTTTTTCAAGATGGCGAACAAAGCATCATTTAAAAATAAATTGGTAAATAGGCATAATGACTTTGGCAGTCATTCTTCCTGGCCCAGCCTACCCTGTAGGGCTGTTGTGGAGAAAATGTGGAGAAAAATGAAAATTAAAAAAAAAGACATGGAAAATAATTATACTTATTGACAAAGTCCTCAACTTATAACCACAACGGGGCCCAGAATTTCCAATGCTAGACAAGGAGACTATTAAGTCAGTCAGACTCAATTTTACAAACTTTTATTGCCAGGGTTCTTAAGCGAATCACTGCAAACGTTAAATGCCAGGCAGATTTTGTAGACTGCATTAAAACATGGTTCATCCAAGTGTTACTTAATTTTATTTTATTGCTATTTCTGACAATAGTTTCTCTACTGCTGAATTGTATGGACGTCTGGTGGTTTACAGGATCATAAAACAGCCATAAAGTCAACATACATCATAGATAATCAGATAATATTTAAAAAGAATGTAAAATAGTCCTCAATTTACAATGTGCCTGGTGCAAGAACCAGATAGATAGATGGATGGATGGATGGATGGATGGATGGATGGATGGAATAGATAGATAGATGATGGATGGAATAGATAGATAGATAGATAGATAGATAGATAGATAGATAGATAGATAGATAGATAGATAGATAGATAGATAGATAGATAGATAGATAGATGATGAATGGGATAGATGGATGGATGGATGAGATGGATGGATGAATAGACAGGTAGATAGGAAGGGAGGAAGGAGAGAGAGACAGATGGATGGATGGGTAGATGGACAGAGAGACAGAGAGAAGAGATGATAGATGATAGAATGTTAGAATGAGTTAGATTGAAAGATAAAATGAGATAAATTGAATGGAATTGATAAAGAGACAGAGAAGATGAGATAAATAAAACAAGATAGATTAATAGATAGATAGAATGAGATAGATGGAATATGATAGCTTGATAGAGATATGAGAGAGAATAAAATAAAATAAATTATAGAATAATAAAATTTGATAGAATAAATTAGAATAATAGATAGATAGATAAAATGAGAGAGAGAATGACTGAATGAGAGATTGATGGGTAGAATAAGATAGATGTTAGATATGATAGATAGATAGATAGATAGATAGATAGAGAGAGAGAGAGAGAGAGAGAGAGAGAGAGAGATCTCCTTATTAAAATCATGTTTAGTGTTGATGCTATAGCCTGTTATTAAAAATATGCAAGGGAGACCCAAGAGTTAGTTCATATTCGTGGCACTTAGTACTCAATGCTCAGGGGTACCATCCTTTCACGCTAAAAGAGACACAACCGTTTTAAACAAAAACAGCAGAAGCCCCTTTTTTGAGAGACGTCTCCCCGTCTCAAACCGCTTCCCGCTCTCCTGCTCCCTTCGACCAACCCAGCCTCTCCACCCCTCCGACACGTGGCGTTAATTTCTGAAAACATTCAATCTTCCCTCTGCCAAGCATCAACTCGCTCAGCCTCTGAATTTGACAAAGGGATTGACCTAATTGGCGAGAGCAGGGTGTGTGCGCCAAGTTGGGTCAACAGGATGGTGTGAAAACACAGGGAGAGGGAGCGAGAGACACACAAGCCAGCCCAGAGCGAGAAAGAGAGGGTGTGAAACACAACGGGGCCCATCCTGGCACATGGGAAGAGCCAGAGGCAGGTGCCAGACGTGTCTGAGGAGGCGCAGAAAGTTTAAAACAGGCAACAAGACAACCGACGCAACCCCAGCCATCAAAAATAAGCCCCCTTCCCCCACCTCCTTTAACCTAGTTTGGGTTTGTTTTGACAGACCAGAAGGAAACCCTCAAGTTTTCTGTATCTTTTGATATCCTTTACGAGAGAAAAAATAACATAAAGACAGGGGGGAAAAATATATATATATAAAGTAATAATTTTAAAAATGTGCTTTGTGGAGTCTGGGCGGAGAGTGAAAAAACGGAGTGATTTTCCTTTTCTCAAATTTTTTTTCCCCCCAAAAAGTTTTTTAATTTATGTTTTACACTAATACCATTCCATTTCAACCGCGTGTCGATTAGGTACAAATTTTTGTGCTTACAATTATAACAAATACTTTTCTTACCAATATGACAGTAATCCCATTTTCTTATTAAGTGTCATCCAATAGATCTTATCATTTTTGACAATCTTATTACTTTATATAGTCATCTAATCCATATAATTGTTTTATTTTCTAACCATTGATAAAATAAATCCCATACCATATAATATTCTGTTTCTTCTTTTTCTTTGATTGCCAGTGTTAGTCTATTCATTTCTGCACATTCAAATATTTTCTCAAATATTTCCCCTCTATCGGTATCTTATTGCTTTCCCAATTCTGAGCAAAACCAATTCTAGCTGCTGTTAATACATGTATAATTAAATATGTTTTTTTTCTTTGCTGTAACCTTCAGGTACCATTCTTAATATCCTTTCCTCAGATTTGATCAGCAGGCAGTCCCCAACTTACAACTGTTCATTTAGAGACGGTTCAAAGTTACACTAACACTGGAAAAACAGTGACTTATATGTTTAACAACAGGGGCAAGAAATGTCATAGGGAGGGAAACTGTTTTGCTTAGCAAGAGAAATTTTGCCCTCAATTGTGGTTGTAAGTCAAGGATTAATTTAACAGTCTAGTTGCACAGAGGCCCCCCTGCGCATTTAAACTTATCTATAAACTGATTTTAGAACTGTTTTTCCAGAGGTTTTAGCAGCCCAGAAGGGTTGAGCAGGGCTGCTCTGACTGGAGGTTCTGGCTATAAATTCCCTGCATATCTCAATCCTCTTAGGCTATCCATATATTTTATTTTCCTTGCTCATCGGAAAGGACCCCAGGAGACAACCGCCTGCCTTGTCATCTCTTCGAAGTGTGGCCCTGAAATGGCTGCCGACACTTGTTCACCCCTGGGAACTGGAGAAAAACTCTGTGGCCTCCGGAGAATGTGAGGGAAAAAAAAATACAATAGAATAAACTCAGAAACTTATTTTATTCACATTAACCTGGAGGCCACGCATGGAAAAACGCAGAGAAATTATTATCAGCACGGGAACAGCGGTTTGTTTATAACTGCAGGGTGATGTACAAGTGGTCTCGACTTACGACTGCAATGGGGATCTGAATGTCCGTTACTAAGCAAGGCAGTGACTAAGTGAGTTGGGCCCGGGGGAATGGTTGGCCTGGGTTGTTAAGCAAATCGTCACAGTTACTAAGCAAATCGAGTTGTGTTAAGCAAATCGTGTTTGTGTTAAGCGAATCGTGTTTGTGTTAAGTGAATCATGTTTGTGTTAAGTGAATCATGTTTGTGTTAAGCGAATCGTGTTTATGTTAAGTGAATTGTGTTCATGTTAAGTGAATCGTGTTTGT